AGCTTTTTACATCATCTTATCACGTAATTTCTCTTCGTCGTCGATGGTTTCCATCACCTTTGTCTTTTCCTTTGGGTATTGCAGCTTTCCTTGATACGGCTTCCAAGATGTGGGTGCATTTAGAGACTTGATAATAAAAAAGGGCCGATCTCTAAAACAATTACAGTTCTCTGTAATTTTGGGGTCAAATCAACCAAGTTTGACATTTGGCTGTGTTTTTGCAGGTGTTCATAGAAACCTTATAAAGGGCCACTGAGACGTAGCAGTTCTTCTTCAGCAATGCCTCACTCATTCATCCCCTTACTTAGAAAACATCTGAGGCCCCACCGCGTTCCTTTCCATTTCCACCATTTCCTCCTTATTTGGGACCATTCTCAACTCACATTGAGACCACTGCCTCATAAATCTGTCTCCAGGGGCCACTGTGTAATGTCCTAAAATGTCACCTTGATGATTACCCCCTCACTTAAAAGCCTTCATTGCATAATTTTTCAAGTAACATGTTTGTTCTGATTACAAAAGCAAGAGAGGGGTTTTTTTGCAGAAAATCTGGAAAGCAAAAAGAAGTAAAAAAAACACTTGTAATTCACCACCAGGAAAAACAGCCCATTGTTGTTATGTTTGTGCCCATCCTACAAGCTGTTCTTCTCTCTTTGCCTCGCACTGAGAACCTTCCCAGTCTGGTCCCAATGTGACTTTACAACTCTTATCTGTCTGCTCACTTCCTCTCTGTGCACCTGTATTGCCTTGCACAGGACTTTTCATATTTTCCCCCTCAATGAATTTTTTCTGATTATATAAATATTATAGTACATGTGGTTGTAAATATTTTAAGAAATACATTATAAAGAATAAAGTGAAAAATATATTTAAAAACATCTCAATGCCCTGAAATAAAAACTATGGACGTTTTGTGGACCATCTCATCATCATCTGTTTATATACGTGTGCCTAAGTAAACACACATAATTTCCAATAAATGAGATCATTGCATCCATGTGGTTTTTATGGTTGACATCTTCTTTCATTTTCACTTATTTCTTTCCTCCCACCCCTTTTTTTCCTTTACCCCAATCCCTCTTCTTCATGTTGCTAGTGTTCTCAACATTGTATAATTATTCTATGGCTCCCTCCACATTCATATAATTATATCAAACATTTAGATAGATAGATAGATAGATAGATAGATAGATAGATAGATAAGATAGATAATAGATAATAGACAGATAAATAGATATAGATACCTATAGTGACACATACATGTTGTGTTTTTTGTCATTGTTTTATAAAAACTTAGATCATATCACGTCAATGTCTGTATCTTGCTTTTTTTTCTCACTTAATGATACTTCGTCTTGCATTCTTTCTTTTTTCTACTATTCTGCATACTATTACTTAGTTGACTGTAACATGGCGTATTGAATGATTTTACTGCAAACAATCCCTGTGCTCACATGGGCATGACATGGCTTGATCAATGACGGTATTTTTAAATTTGGGTAGGTGTTTCCAGATTGCTTTATGAATGGGACAACGATTTCTATTTCCACCAGCAGTGCATGAAAGTCCTTTTTTCTGTATCCTGCCGTGTGTCTGTGACGTTGTCACCACCCAGGGCCTCTAAATTGCAGGGGAGGATGGTGATGGGGTCCCTTTGAAATCCCAAACTTCAAGACAAGTATGGGGCCATATTAAGACCATCACAGTAATGGATGTGAGACCTCATTACGAAGAGATCATGGTTTACTAGAGTTGCGTTCTGGGGAAGTAGTTCACAGAAATGAACCCTAAGGCCTGAAGTGCTATTTTATTTTTAGGATGATTTTTTTTTTTTACCCGACATTATTTGGTTAGCGTGGCAGCTAGAAATTTCCCTCTTGACTTTTCATTTGCTTCTTTACAATTTTTGTCAGCACTCGAGAAGTAGAACACATCACACACAGCTTCTGAACATTTGAGTCAACCTTGAAACTATGCAGATGGATGTATGTCGAGATCTGACTGAGTGTTCCTGTGAACATGGTTTATATTTTCAATACTTTTATAATAATTATCGATGGGCTGTGAGAGGTCCGGAAGCAGGTGGGAGGGTTGGATTTTACAGACCATCTCCTGAGCTGTGCAGGGATGTTCACCTCACCTCCTCTCATCCAAGATGGAAGCACAGTCCCATTCTCCTAGTCATGAACTGCCTGGTGCTGTCTTCTCTCAGCCTGGCTACTGATACCTGCCACCACTTCCCTTGTCCTTCTTGCTTTCTTTTCTCTTTGCCCTTTTTGCCTCTCTCCCTTTCATTTCTCCATATTTCTCAGGTTCCCCACAAAGAGGCTTGCCTTTGGAACCATTGCTTGCTGTTGAGATTGCATTTGGGTCAGGCAAGCCTACCTTCCCACATCATTGGGGGTGTAACCTCAAGGTCATTGGCCTTTCTTAGCTATTTTCATCCCTGATTTTTCTGTTGACAGGTTCTCCACCTGACAGAAGTGCTTCTCCCAACTCCCCCTATTATAGTGTTTTTATCTGACATCAATTTGGGACCTCGAGTCCCTGAGAACCTGAGGCTTCCCAGTACTTTGAAGTAGAAATAGATTCTATCTCTGAGAGAACTCTGACCAGCCTGTTCTGGGAAAGAATGTTGGCTGTTGGTGCCCCACCAAGTAAAGAACCTCAGGATTATCACGGGTTATTAGAGCTGTATGGAGAACAAATGAGGTCATCGAGAGTGTCGTTGCATCATTCTTAAGTATAGTCTCAATGTCAGGGAAAGTCACGCGTAGGATTCTGGCTTTAACTCCTGAATTCTGAATTTACTCACATTTGTGGATTCAACATAGCCTAAGCATTATTTTGATATAGTTTGTGTGTGGTTTAATATGTACAACTTGTCTGAACGCAGTTAGCTCTGTGGTTATCTGTTACTAAGAATTGCTTTTTGTCTTATCCTTTTCTAAGAAAACTCTAGTTTCCTAAAGTCTTGCTCGTGAGCTCCTCAGCAGCGAGAGGTGTTGTGTGAGGCCCTGTTGGTGATAATAAGATCAAACAATCACCCGATTCAGGTGACTTTAACACAAATCATATTGACTAAAATAGTATTAAGCATGTGATGCTGGTGTGTGACATTTGAATATTTGCCAAGAAAAACACCCAAGTCGCTATGACTGGCTGCAAGAGTAAGAGATTTGCCTGTTTTACTGTTTTTACATACTTTTTTATTTGAGAATCTGAAACCAGCCTTTATAGTTTGGGGAGGGAAAGTAACACATACAGTCAGCACGAATCTGTTTACCTGCGTTTCTCTTTCACTGCTTATAAGATTTCAGGTCACTATGTCCTAATCAAGAGCTATGTATAAATTAGGGAACGTGTATCTTAACAAATTTGAAATTTCTGTGTGTTCTCTCTCACAGTCCCTTCCTGCAATTCCTTTCCACACTTTTTCATTCTTCATGTAAAGCTTGCAACCTACATTTGATAAAGCTTGGAAATCAGACCTGACATACGAATCTGTGTCCCAGTTGTGGCTTGTGGCCATTTATGACCATGAGAGTCACTCTTGAGCCTTGGTTTTTTAATCTCTAAAATGAGACACCTACTTCATGTAGCCATTAAAGGAACGTAACTTCCTTGCTTTCCTCCTTTCTTTTGGAGAAATTCAGAATTTTCAAAAATACTAAGTGTGGTGTTTTTAAGGCCACTTACAAGTTGCCTGTCATGATGAGGACAATTAGAAATGCAATATTCTACTATCGGATTCATTACCACCACCACCACCACCACCCTCCCCCCAGTAGAGCACACAGGTCACATTTCTGGTAAAACCTGATTGTGTTCTGAGAAAGCATGTGTGAGGACCAGGACAGTCACAGACGATGTGTCCCCTGATTTCCATGATTGAAGAGCTTTACCCTGGTGCCCCTGTAGAGGGGCCTTGGCACAGTGTGGCTCTGCTGTGTGGCAAATACGTCATGAGCTATGTAGAGCCAGAAATTGCAGCCAAGTTAGAATAATGCCAAATGCCATGATCTTTTACATGCAGGAGAAAAAAAAGACTACATATCAGCAACATAATTGTTGTGAAGTCCCTATTTCACTGTGCATGTCTAAAGGACTTAAGTGAGGCCAGACTCCCTAAAATAAAATGTAGAAAGGAAGGGGTTACCAAAACTGCAGTGCTCCGTCAAAGGGAATTTTTAGTTAAGGATTAACAGCGACCACTTAAAAACTATAGATGGCTTAAAACTGGAACTAAAGGATGCCACACAGAGATTCCTGTGGGCATGAGTCAAGATGAAGGTTTGAGTCAAATGAAAACAAGACCAGCCACTCTCGAGAGGCAGTTTTCTGAAGGCTTTGGAAAGACGTGAAGAAATATAGGCCACAGAATGACAAATGGGCATAGTGAGAACAGAGCAGCATTTGAGCGTAAAACTTGATATTTGGGACGAGGAGAATAAAGCAAAGAGAAGGGCTGGAGATTTGGAACTGGGTCAGAAACAATGAGCTCACAAGTGAGGACTGAGTGTGTGGATTCCCAGCAGTGACAGGAGGGGCCAAATCTTCAAAGATTTGCACGAAGCCACCGGATTTATTTAGCAGAGTCCTGCAGAAGTGAATGGCAAGAAAAGGAAAAACCTACATTGCTGTCTGAATGGCAGAGGGAAAAAAATCAACTGAAAGGAAAGCAGAGGGCTTATGGGCAAGATAAGCTCATTCAGAGACATATGACTGAACTGAAACCCAGATAAAATATTATCTTTTAATCCAGTGTCTTTCATTAGAAGTTTATTTTCTTTGTATTTCATTCACAAAAGAGCAATGTGCATTGAACTTCATATATTTGCTCCTAGAATTGTGGCTAGAAGCTTATTGCTGATGAGGATGTTACAAATTAAGGAAGTTTTTAAGCACAGCACACGGACTTGGAAAGTATAACAGGGGAATGAAATTTTAAGCCAGTGATAAGATAATAAAGATGCAAGGCTAATCTTACATGGACTATATTGTAAGGAATAAAAAAAAAAAGTATTCTTGCTTAAGCCTGAAGCTTTCTCCTGCTAAGACCTCCATGAATCACCTCCTATATATTCATGTTCTTTCCTCTTTCCCTCTTGACCTCCCCTTGGAATAGTCCAGGCCCATCCAGGGGTCCCCAGCCTTCCCCTACCTTCTAGAACATTCATCACCTCCCCTGTACTGCCCAAAAGTATACTTAGAGCTCCCAAATCCCAGGGGAAAATGGTCTTTAATTCTCCTGCTCCTTTGGACTGCTGTCATGTCTCCTCCCCAAGATTTTAAGCTTCTTAAAATCTAGATCGCCTCTCCCTTTCTAACTCTACTTCTTCCCTCCCTCTGACCCCTAACCACCACCCCTCCAGTGGGCCTTCTGTTTCTATCGCGCTAATAAAGCAGCTATTTTATAAGGGGATTACACACTAATTTCTGAGGACATCCAGAGCCATGGCGTTTGACTTTTCTGTAGCAGTTGGAACCCGGGGAAGCGTCTCTCTTTAAACACTAGACCTTCTTGCTTCTATTACACAAGCCTAATTCTTTCTCTGATCTTGCCAACCAGCCCCGCTGTGTCCCACCAACCAGCTTTGCTTTCTTCTCCCACTGAGTGCAGACATTTGTCCCAGCGCAGACCTTGTGCTTGTCCCTCTGATGTCTCCCTCAGAGGCTCTCTCTAAACCTTTCTACATGGACGCAGGTTGTTCCAAATCCCCTCCCCAGACCTGAGAGTTCTCCGGTTTCCATCCCATATTTCCAGCTCTCTGCTGGTCACACACACTTGGATGACCCACCACCATTGTGAACCCAGCTTTGCCTCTTCCTTCCCCACGCCAAGCCCTCCCAGACTCTGGCGACTGGGGCAACTTGTCCCACTCCCCTCATCTCAGCCATGTGTGGTTCTATCCTCTCACTTTACTCTGTGTCCAAAGACTCACAAACACCTTGTTTCCTCCATTTCAAACTCTGTCCTCTTGGTGTTCCGGGAAGAGCAATAGATGGGCCATCTACTCAATTCTTACTCGACCTGTGTAAGCAGAAGAATTCTAGGTCAAGTGAGCATAAGTCCAATTTGAATCTTAAAAACAGAGAGTCATGGTGCCTCAATCAGTTCCCAGTCTTGAGCCAATTTACAGGCCCAGAACCCCTCAAGCGAAGGGGAGGCTGGGTCCCCTTGAGGAAGCACCCTGCTAGGCTGCCAAAATGTCTGCTGTGACTCCTTCTCCCAGCCTTCCCCAAAGGGACCAGTAGCCTTTTACCAGGGTAACCGAGCACTGAGGCAAAGGAAATAATCAGGCCTTTTGGGGATTAATGGACACCGGCCGTGAACTGACACCAATTCCAGGAGCCCCAAAACGTCCCTCGGGGCCACCCGTCAGAGCAGGGGCTTGTGGAGGTCAGGGGGTCCCTGGGACCTCAGCATTCTGGTGCGTCCCTTCCCACGGCACTCTGTGCAGGCCGGCGGGGCTGGCCACGCTCTGCCTGGGGGCTACCTGGGGGCTTGCTGTCGCCCCTCTGCAACCATTGTATTCCCTGGCTCGGACCACTGGTGCCAGTTCTCAGGAAGAGGCCAGCCTTCCTCAGCCTGATGATGACAGTCCTCCCTCAAGACCCCTCCCCTGTCTCCCAGGCGTCTTGGCAGCCAGTCCTCACCCCGTAGCCAGTCCCCCAAACATGGCACATTTTCCTTCTCCTCATTTTGCCTTTGCTCATGCCGTGCCCTGCGCCTGGCATTCCTTTTTGGCTTCGTTCTCTGGAATTGTGTGGTGCCTGTTTTTAGCACAAATATACTATGTCCCCTTGTAAAACCGTTTTTTCTCCACTGTAGCCCATAATGGCCAGGCAAATGAGCAAAAGAAGTGTGGATGGATTAATTCACTGGTCTTGGGGGTAAAGAGGGGTCCTTCTAGGAGTGGGTCGTTAACAATCTTCATAAACAAAAGATTGCCTTGTTTATACCTGTTCTTCAGAGTCAGCATTTCTTAAATCTGCTTAAGGTGAAAGTGAGTGCTCTGTGTTGAAAAAATCATATGGGAAAGCACAGAAATAAGAAATGTTCACTTTGTCTAATGCGTGAGTATATTCCACAACAGGTGGCCTCTCAACTTGCACAAATAAAACAGAATTGATTGGCTGACACCTATCAGCAGAGCAGAAGGAATTACGGGCTGGTGCCAGGACCAGGAGCAGATGGGCATATTGACTTAGATCTTCAGGTCTTCTTGTTAAGAGCCCCTCTAATCAAGTACCTTTCCTCAGTGTGAGATCAACCTCTGGTGTCTTTGAATAGTCTTGTTTTTTAAAAAGGTAATTCCCGTGCCGGTTTCTCCTGTTTTCCGAAGTTGAGGTTAGATTCAGTGGAGTTTGTGCAAGCTTGACCGTCCTGTTTCCTTTCAGACTTTTCTTTGGAGTTTCCAGATCTCACAGTCAAAATTAAAACAGCACAGAAATTAAATTGAAAATATGATAAATCCCAAGGATTTTTTTTCATACCAAATAGGCAGCATCAGCCTGTGTGTGTGTGTGGGGGGGGGGACGGGGGAGGGGGCGGGGGATGGGTGGTGTGCAGGCTCTAGCGTCCAGGCCCACCCACCCCAGAGCTCTGGTGGCCCCATGGGCTGGAACCCTCGGCATGACCCTTGGTCTTCAGGAAACCTTGGAATTCTCCCCACAGCATGAGCCCTTAACCATCTGAATTCTGCTCCTGTGACATATGTGACATGGCTGTGTCGCTGGTTTTCTCCCTACTTCTCTGACTACTGCATTTCCAGTCCCCCCTGCAAACACTTGTGAAACAGCATTAATGGAGCACCTACCAGGGGCCAGAGCGTGCTCAGTTGTGTGGATCTATACAAAGATGAATGGGGTGTGTCCTGACCTTCAGGGTCTCCTGCCCCCGCCCCATGCTCACACCGCCACCTCTCCACACTTCTGCCTCCTCCACTGTAGTAACACTGAGCAGCTCAGATGTCCAACAGAGATGAGGTCCCCAAGCCATTCCTTTTTCCTCTTCTTCCCATGCACTCACTTCTTTGGAAAGGCTTTTTTCTGTCACAGCTTCAATCATAAAACTATATTCCCAGCCCTGTTTTAAAATCTGAAGTTTAGTACTGAATTTCCTCTTGTTTTCTCCAAAATTCATGGAGCCAAACCAGCTCCCCATGAGTGTGCTCCCTGCGTCTGTCAAGAGTGGCGCCAGTTTCCTTTTGCTCCAGACCCTGAGTCTGGAAACTATCCTAGGTCATCTCCCCTTTCTTCTCTGTGTCCGGGGATCAGCGTTCAGGCTTCGTCCCACCTGCTCTTGATGCGCGCCTTCTTCATCATTCCCGCCACCTCCATCCTGCCCGGTCCTGATGGCCGCACACCTGCCTTAGCTCTTCCAATGAGCTCTGCGTAGCCAAGCCAACATTCTCTCCTTTAAATCCCATCTTCTCGATGTCCTTCTTGTTAAGTGGTAGAGACAATGTCGTAGCCGTTTATGTCTCCAGCAGCATCTAAATCATCTCCTTGCACACAGGAGGCACATAACCAAAGCTTGTTGATCTGTTGTGCCCAAAGCATGCCTAGACTTCATAATGTCAACCTCGGCTTTCCTCCGATCTGTCCTGTGCAGAACGTCCAAATGGTGACTCCTGCAATGACAGCATCCTCACTGTCGTAGAGGTGGGGGGAAGGGCAACACTGCAGAGAGCTATGAAATGGATAAAAAAATTGGGAGATGAAATCCATGAGGTAAGTAAGGCATTGAAATTATTTGACATGGGAGAGACCAAGATGGTGAGCGCTTGCTGGGGGAGACTGTTTTGATGTCTTGCTTCTGTTCACACCATTATGTCCGCACCCTGAGTTTCCACTCTTATTCATCATACATGTCCTTTAGTACTTCGTGCTTTCCTTCTTACCTCGTCATTGCCCACGGCTCTTATCTTGTGTCGTGTTCATGGAGCACAGACATAGTGCAAAGGCCAGGTGATGCTGCCAGATGGCGCAGTCCAGGATGCACAAGGGTTGGGATGCCTCTGCACACTGATCGAGCATGCCCTGGAGAGAGAGATGTGGACACAGCCGTGGAGGTGACCCAGACTCCCTCCTACAAGATGTTACGCTTCCCTAGGGGGTCCCACATGGAGACAGTGAACTATGATGGAAGAGGAAGAGGGGAGGCACAGCAGGAAAGGTACAGGTTCAAAGTAAGTGAAGATTTACAGTGAGAATTGTCAAACCCAAAATGGGTTCCAGAGAAAGCTGTGGTCTCCTCTTTCCTAGAAGCGCTGAAGTCACAACAGACAGACTCCACAGTGGCCTGAGCACCAACCTCTCCGGAGACCTGAGGACGGGAAAGGGGGCTTTCTGGCTCTCCATGCCCACAACCCACGTATCTGGATCACCCAGTTTGCTTTGCAGAGTATAGAGTTTACTGTAGGCTGCTGCTTACTCAACCACAGAAGTGAAATTTGTTACTTATGAAAAATAATAAAAGGTCTTTCTTTTTCTAGACTTCCTCTAGTCAAATGGGTATTGTTGTTGTCTTTCTAAATGGGGGAGTTTGCTTAGCCTCTTTTCCTTTTGTGGCATTCAAATTTAGCATTTGTATATACTCTGCCCAGGAGAGCTGAGTCTATATGTGAGAGACGCAAGGCCCAAGTCATAATAAACGCTTACCATTTTTCTCAGAGATGGCGCATGCAGTATGCGTACAAGTGGAAGAAGTTAGGCTGTTGAAGATTTTAGGGAACTCACCAGCATTAACAGTGGAGACAATGAGTTACCTATTTCTTTGACTCAACATTTATTGAGCATTTACTCTGTGCCCTGCACTATGCTTGCCAGTTACAGAAGAAACAAAAATGCATGAGACCTGCTCCCTGCTTTCAAGGTACTTACAATCTAACAGGCGAGATCAAAGCTCTGTGCAAACAACCCTACCTATTACAAAGAAAGGATTATTCTGGCTCAAAGCAAGGCCATTAGGAAGGATGGTACCATGGCAGAATTCTAATAATAACCAGTTTGAAATTCAGCTTTTTCAAGCTGCATCACTTCTGTCTTGTATTAGCCTGGTTTTTCAATTTAAAGAAAAATATTGTTCCTGAATAGGTACTCTATTCATAGGGTTCATATGCTGAAACAATTTAGAAAGGGATTTATCAATTAATCTCACTTCCACCCCTGTCACCATCCACCCAATTCACTACCCCTTAGTCCACCGAAACAGGTAACTACTAGGTATGTTAATTTCTTGAGTATATATCCAGTGTCTCTTCATGCAAAATAAATAAATGTATAGGTAGCTAAGCTTTTTCCTTTTTTCTTACACAAAAGGCAGCATATTACTTGCCTGTTCTTCTCATGGGCTGTTGATTCAGTAGTTTACCTTGGAGACCTTAGCAGTCAGTCCATGGGACGCACCCTTTTTCTTTCTTCATGGGTAGGACACTACCTTCATCGTAAGGCACCATTTGGGTGTGTAGCAGTTATCTATTGCTGCATAACCAACTGCTCCATAACGTAGAGGCTTCAAACAACCACGGTTTTATTTATTCACAATTCTATGGGTGAGCTATTTGGACTGGGGTCAGCTGGGTGGTTTTTCTTCTGGTTTTGTGTGGATTTGCTCATATGGAGGAGGCCATCCGGCAGCCTGACTGGGGCTAGATGGTCCAAGATGGCTTCGCTCACATGTCGGTGGTAGATGCTGGCTGCCAGCTGGAATTTGTGTCTCCAGGAGACTAGCCCAGGTTTCTTCCCATGGCAATTGGATTCCAGAAGCAGAGAGGGGTGATGCCCGAGTCCAAAAGACTATTGAGCCTGTGCTTGCATCATGCTGGCTAATGTTCCATAACCAAATCAGGTGACAGGGCCAAGCCCAGCCTCAGTGTGGGAAGGACCTACAGAAGGGAATGAATACAAGGAGCATCCAACCCTGGAGGTTGTTACGTCACTATCTCCTACACGTGTCTAATTAACCACCCCTAATGATGGACACCTGGTTGTTTCCAAGTGTATTACAAAGAATGCCCATTAGATAACTTTGCTTAGTAGTCAGTTCATATGTAAGCAGGATAAATTACCAGAAGTGCATTGCTGAGGCAAAGGGTGAATGCTTTTAAAATTATCTGGCTATTCTATTTCTGTGGTGCTATTTCTCTGGTTATTTTAAGCTTCTGTTCTTCTGTGGCTTGTGCTTTGAAAATGTGAAAAGAGTTTAGATAAGAAATGCATATAAACTGAGTTAATTAGAAACTCATTCCTAAAATAACCAAAAAGATGAGAAAGCTAGACTAGAAATCAAATAATTTTGAATAAAGTAACCTGTATTTGAATAAATATGCCTGTTGTTATAACAATGCTTCACATCGCTATTGTGTTTACAATATAGAAACAGTTTGCTTGCAGTGTGTCACTTAATTCTCACAATTCTATACATTGAGGGTATAATTGGCCCCAGTAAATATGTATATAAAGTATGTGTGTGTGTGTGTGTGTGTGTGTGTGTGTATTTTTTTTTAAGATTTTTATTGGGGAATTGGGGGATGGGAACAGCGCTAGGGAATTAGGGGAAGGGGAACAGACAAGTTGCTGTCCTTTTGTTCTTCAGTCTAGTTGTGGAGGACATTGCTTCACTGGCCCAAGTTGGCACCATCATTGCGCTCTTCCCGGGCGAGGCAGATCAGTCGCCGGCTTCTGGACGGCCGCTCACAGCGGCTGCTGGCCGCTCACGCTGGCTGCCGGCCACACACGGTAGCCCATGGCAACCCACTGCAGCAGGGGCTGCAGCCTAGCCATCGCTGGGGACTCATGGCAGCCCAGCTTCAGGTTGAGCTGTTGTTCAGCATCTTAGCTGTGGAGGGCAATGTCACTGGCCCTCATATGTGGGATCCGAACCAGGGGCCTCTGGCGTCCCAAGCCAGTTCTTAACCATCGCGCCACTCGGCCGGCCCTGTGTGTGTATGTTTTAAGACTTAGAGAAGTTCCTTGACTTGCTCCAACTAGCATGTTATAGCCAGGATATATACCCAGCCCTCTGTGACAACAAACTTGACCTCTTCCCAGTAAGTGTGTTTCATTAGTAGGGACCTGTGTCTTATATCTTAGCTACAAATGACATTAATTTTCTCTGCTTGTTAATTGCCACATTAACACATCACAGTCACATGTGATGTATCTTCGCAGGAGGCTCTTCTTTAAAACGTTAGAAATAGTTTATTTCTAAGTTCTGACTACTTGTGGAACACCCCTCAGGGTTTCCCTTGTTTTGTCCAAGCTGAGAGCTCCGTTTCCTGGTCTGAGTCCCTAGTAGATCTTGAAAGAGGAATTCTCTTTATGCCCATGTGCTTGCCTTAGGCCTTTAGGAAGGGGGAGTTACTTTTAAATAACACCTTGTCTAGCCCTTCTGTCACGGACATGGAAAGTAGACTGTTTTCTTTCTTTTCATTCACACTCAGACATTTTCATAAGGGTTTGGTCATGGCCAAGCGGCCGCTACAAACCACCCACTTCCCTGAAGCGTGATCGATTAGCTAAGCGGTTCTGCCCAAGGGCAGCCCATTTGAGCCTGGATGTTGACAGGTCCGACATGCACAGGTTTTAAAACAGGTCTCTCATCCCTTGACTGCCAGTTGTGGGCCAGGATGCTTATTCTTGAGGGAGAAAGAGGAGAGAGAAGACCCATTAGGAGAGCCAGGTAGGCTCCATGGGTCCGGAATCACCCCACCTTATATAATCTCCAAAACATGGCAGCTCAGACCCACGTAGTCCTTGTAGAGGACTTCCTAATGGTGGTCTGCAGACATAGCTGCAGAGGAAATGTGAAGTGCCAGGGAACGTGAGGACACTGGGCCACGCCTGTGCAAATAGGAGTGTGCCCCCACTGGACTAAAAACCTCTAGACATCAAAGACAGTCATGCATTTAAAGAAAGATAGAAATTTGATGTCCAGTCAACATACCCCTATGATGGAAGTTTGGAAACACAGCCAAGCAATGCACTGTAAACAGGGTGATGTCAGGGCCGTGTCTTTGCATGTTTTTCTCCTGCGTGGCCGCCAGCAGAGTGACTTTTTATAGAGTAGGATCCACATAAATCTGTAGTCCCAAAATGCTACGGCTGAGACCTTAGAACCCATCTTGTCTAGACCTCACCATTTCAGAGACAAGTATGCTGAGGTGCAGGGAGTTTAGGAAGTTTAAATAAATGGCCTCAGGTTGTTTACCTGGTTAATTGCGGAGCCACATCCCCTAAGTCTTAGGCAAGTCCCTTGTCATAGAATTGTGCTGCCAATAGTCTAACGTTAAGCGAATGAATGAATGAATAAATGAACTTCCATTTTAAAGGAACTTGTTAAAAAACCTACCCATTCAGTAAAGTCACATAGAATCATGCACTTAATTTACTTACGTATCAACCTTAGGAGACTCCATGTACACTCTGTTGGGGCCGGTGGGAAAGGGGAATTTATAAGGATGACTTGGGTAGTGTCGTTGGAAAGACTTTCAGGAATCTGAATTTTAAGACATTTTGGCCATCTCATGGAAAGTCTTAAATGTCAGCATTGGATGGAAAAATTGGGCTTTTTTTTTGTTATAATGCTCCAGGTGCAGATAACCTGGTCAGGGGAATTGAGCCCGAGGCTGAGGGCCCTGTTTCTGCATATGAGTGAACTGGGTATCAGTGTAGCAGCTGGAGCAGAAGTCATTAGGAAGAGGCCCCCGTCTTTCACTTGATTACCCCAAAGTACTGCCTGCTCACTGCCTGCTTCATGCAAGAGGTGCCTGACTTGTTCTAAGTACCCCTCTCTATGGGGCTTAGAGCTCAGCTGATTCAACATCTTCATTGAATGCCACCTCTTCTTCCACAGCTTAATTTTCCTTCTATCACGTGGTCCACTGTCAGTTCTCTCCTCTTTCATTCTTCACCTTCTTGCCACCTGGGACAGTAGAAAGAAACTTTTGCACGCGTCCTTTCACAGATGCATCTGACCAGATCTGTTGTCACAGGTAAATTTGACCCTTGACAATAGAGTGCCGAGACCTTTACTT